ACATGAAAAATGTATGTGGAATAATAAGAGATCTGTGAATGCTTGAGGGATGAGCGTTCCATTGCCCTCCACATTAATTCTCCCCTCTTTCCTACCAGTCAAAATGAAACGGTCCTTACCATCGTTCTAACCTTCACTAACTCTCTACCCGTCTTCCGTCTGTCACCGCCCGCCTCACTGGTCTTGCCTCTTCTTCCATCCCCTTATTATTCCTCCCTTCTCCCCCTTTTACACTTTCCGTCTATCTCTCCATTCCCCTCCACCGACCGACCTCCTTTTCTCCTTATTTTGTTCCCCGTCACTTTTGCGATGTCTCTCGTTTTATTTCATTTTCACCCGCTTTCTCTCGTCCTTTCTCTTTATCGATCTCTAGGACAAGTCAAGGTAGTGTTTGTGCTCTATAAGAACCTGGGCTCCTTCCTGTCTACGGAAAATGCCACAGTGAAAATGGAGCTGGAGGCGGGGCCTGGTGGGCGGGGCTTGGCGGTCAACTCCCACGTCATCGCCGCTTCCATCAATAAAGAATCCAGCAGAGTGTTCCTCACTGAGCCAGTGGTCTTCACACTGAAACACCTGCAGGTAGCCAAACACACACACCAGAACATGTACACACTGTACTCTAATACTCTAATATAGTACTGCTAATAACTCTACATTACAATACAATAACTAGTTAAACCTACACCACAATAAGCTAACTAGGAAACCTTACACTATATTACACTAACTACTGAACCTTACACTATATTAAACTAACTACTGAACCTTACACTATATTACACTCACTACTGAACCTTACACTACATAACAATAAGCTTACCACTCACCTGCACAACTTACTTACTTAGTCTGTCCACTGACACAGTCAGTATTACAGTAGACACAGTCAGTATTGCAGTAGACACAGTCAGTATTGCAGTAGACACAGTCAGTATTGCAGTAGACACAGTCAGTATTGCAGTAGACACAGTCAGTATTGCAGTAGACACAGTCAGTATTGCAGTGGACAAGGTCAGTATTGCAGTGGACAAGGTCAGTATTGCAGTGGACACAGTCAGTATTGCAGTGGACACAGTCAGTATTGCAGTGGACACAGTCAGTATTGCAGTAGACACAGTCAGTATTGCAGTGGACACAGTCAGTATTGCAGTGGACACAGTCAGTATTGCAGTAGACACAGTCAGTATTGCAGTGGAAACAGTCAGTATTGCAGTGGACACAGTCAGTATTGCAGTAGACACAGTCAGTATTGCAGTGGACACAGTCAGTATTGCAGTAGACACAGTCAGTATTGCAGTAGACACAGTCAGTATATTAACAGAGGAGACACTAGCTGTACATCCCACACACTGTTCTCTTACACTAAACATACACTACAACATATTTCACCTCTCACCTTTTCTCTCTCGCCTCACATATGCTAAGTGTTTAAATCCACACGTCTTGCATTCCCCCACCGTTCCAACACACGACAGCCCTGGGTGCTCCATGTTTCTGTTTGTACGTTATCGTAACCCCTCAGAGAAAAGCATTTCCCCTCACGTGACAAAATTGTTCATATAATTCCATTAATTCTCTCTTCCCCCCCGTTTCTTCTTCTCTGTTTTCATCCAGTTGGAAAACCACTACAGTCCTAACTGCTCCTTCTGGAACTACTCGGAGCGCTCCATGACGGGCCAGTGGTCGTCTCAGGGCTGTCGTCTTCTGGACACCAACGGCACCCACACCACCTGTTCCTGTTCCCACCTAACCAACTTCGCCGTGCTCATGGCCCACCACGAACCTGACGTAGGTCCAGCGGCTAGCAGTTCAACGTGCACGCACGTTCGTTGAATTATCTTGGCGCCCATGCTTTATATCCACGCCAAAATCGTTTCGCCTTCAGAGAAGGGTTTCTTAGGTTCCCCGGATATGATATACAGTACCTCGGACAATGCTCGCGGCTTAGACCCGGTAAAATGCGGAGCGTTGTTTGTTTGGTGAGGGAAAGTAAAGCGCTAGAACAAGCTTCTACTTTTGTGCGGGCGACTTGTCATTTTTCCACGTACGGTTTCGTACGGTTTCCACGTACGGTTTCGTACGGTTTCCACGTACGGCTGCGCATTTCCACAATCACTTATCTACATTGACCCAAATATCTTCTCCAGTAAAAACCCTCTCTGTGTATAATGGCTGACCTTCTCACTCAACCTCTAGCCTTTAATGCAAATAACTTTTACTTGAAATCTAAACCACTAAGTGAAAAAATAGCCTTTTTCCCTCACGGGGAATGGCGAAATGTCCCCGTCAAGGTCAACTGTTCCTTGTTTTACTACGCTTGCTGGGATGTGTGGTCCACACACACACACACACACACACACACACACACACACACACACCAGAGTGTCTAGCTCGTTCCTCTTTAGTTTCTCTACCTCTCCTGATTTATTTATTTCAATCTCGCTCTTTTTCCCGCTCTTACACACACACACACACTCACAGATTCATGCCCCGCGACGTTGACTGACATTCGTTTGAATTTGAATGTCACGTCTTTTTTCGGCGCGTCTCCTCGTTTCTGCGTTGTAGCCGAACGGGAATACGGTCATAAATACACAACAGGCTCGAGTGGAAAATAAGAAAGACGCGACAAAAATGGAGGACATTTGAAATTCTTCGAAAACAAGAAATGCATATCAAACGCTAAATTATTGTCTACTTGTTGATGAGCAGTGTTGTAAGAATGGGCAAAAAGTGACAGGATGTCACAGGATGACAGGACAAGTAAAGAATAAATACAGAGGAGAAAACATTGTTTTTGTACGCTCTGTTGACTGACTTATTGTCAATGGCGCCAGGTTGCAAATCTCTCTTTGTGAAATTATGCTTTACAGATATCAGAGTTATATTTGTAATTCGTTGTTATGGGTCTGTATGAACTCACAGCCAGGTCTGGAAAACATGACATTTTATCTGGTTATTTAGCTTGATTCTTTCCAGCGTGTCAAATAATCTGGTTGTGTCTATCTTTGTTCGTGGGGTCTCCGTCTCTGACTTCCGTCATCCCTCTCTCCACAGTACCCGGGGCGTATGCACGAGTTGATCCTGTTCGTGATCACCTGGGTGGGCATCGTCATCAGCCTCGTCTGCCTGGCCATCTGCATCTCCACGTTCTGCTTCTTGCGAGGCCTCCAGACCGACAGGAACACCATCCACAAGAACCTCTGCATCAACCTCTTCATCGCAGAGCTCCTCTTCCTCATCGGCATCGACAAGACCCAGTACCATGTGAGTAGGATAAAGACGGGCGGTCCCGGGTCTGTTTAATTCCGTTAACTTCATCACATCTCCCAGTTGGAGCACTCGAAATCAGAACAGAAAAACTGCAAACCAGATCCACCGACCAGGTTTTTTGGAACAGTTATGAATTTTTTTAAATGTCCAAAATGACTCAACACGGATATTGTTGCATTTTATAGTTTGCGAAAGCTACATTAAAAACACTGTTGGCCTCTAAAACGAATACAAAACAATAAGATGGAACAAAAAAAGGCAAAGGCGTCCATCCTAGTATATCATATCCTCTATCTCAACTCTCTCTCTCTCTCTTTGCTCTGTTCTCTTCTCAATCCTCTTTCACACCTCTAATAGTTCTTCTTTATTCCTCTTCTCTCGTTCCCCCTCTCCGTATTTCCAGATAGCCTGTCCCATCTTCGCCGGCCTGCTTCATTTCTTCTTCCTCGCCGCGTTCAGCTGGATGTGTTTGGAGGGCATTCAGCTCTACCTGATGCTGGTGGAGGTGTTCGAGAGCGAGTATTCCCGCAAGAAGTACTACTACCTGTGTGGCTACTGCTTCCCTGCTCTGGTGGTGGGCATCTCCGCAGCCATAGATTACCGGAGCTACGGGACCAAGAAAGCGTACGTGTGAAGTAGTCACATTTAACCTGCAGATTGAGGGGCCCGATTATGCCAGCCGTGACGATTCCCCATCACCCCCCACCAACGAGTGTTCGGAGCTGGTTAAAGCCCACTGATTAGCTCGTGTTGTACACAAGATAATCCCCTGAGAGTGTGTGTGTGTGTGTCTGTGTGTGTGTATTCGAGGGGTATAACATCTTTTCATTTGTCCCATGTAGGTGCTGGCTGCGGGTGGACAACTACTTCATCTGGAGCTTTATTGGACCTGTGTCGTTCGTTATTATGGTACGGGCTTTATGACTTTTCTTACATTCTTAGATAATCCTCTTCGTCCCCTGGAGGAACACAGGGCCCGTGCTCAGGGTTGACTTCACAAGTGTTGTTGTTTAGGACGAGGGGTTTCTGGGTTTCCGTTAACTGTGTTTTTGAAGTGCGTGACCTTTGACCCGTCTGCCCACAGCTAAATCTGATATTCCTCATGATCACTGTGCACAAGATGACTCGTAACTCCTCCGCCCTCAAACCGGACTCCAGTAGACTGGACAATATCAAGTGAGTCCCTCTCAACAGAGGTCAGGGGGGTGGGGAAAGTGTCATGTGACAGTACTGCACTTTGATTTGGACGGGAGCTTTTGGCCGGCACCTCACATGTTTAACTCTTTGAGGTCTGGTTATTCGTTTAGAACACTTGAATACCCCTGGATGCTAACCTGCCGGTTCCTCTTGTCGTCTCCAGGTCGTGGGCTATTGGCGCCATCGCACTTCTGTTCCTGCTGGGTCTGACCTGGTCCTTTGGCCTCCTCTTCATCAACGAGAACACAGTGATCATGGCCTACCTCTTCACCACCTTCAATGCCTTTCAGGGAATGTTCATCTTCATCTTCCACTGTGCCCTGCAGAAGAAGGTGCTTGTGTGTGTGTGTGTGTGTGTGTGTGTGTGTGTGTGTGTGTGTGTGTGTATGTATGTATGTATGTGTGTGTGTGTGTGTGTGTGTGTGTGTGTGTGTACCACATTATATGTGTTTAATAACTATGGCCTACTGACAGTGACCAGGAGTCTCCCCAGGGGCAGTGCATTTAGGGCACAGCGCCGTTCTGGGTTGGTGTCAGCTCAGTTGGTAGAGCACGATACTAGCAATGGCAGGGTTGCGGGTTTGATTCCCATGGGGGGACAATACAGACAATAACAGCTGTACGTCTCTCTGGATGAGAGCATCTACAAAGGGACGTAAATGGAAATGATGTCAGGTCCCATTCTGGCAACTCTTTATGCAAGCTCCATTGTGGTTCCTTGTAATTTATTTTACCTGAATAGTATGCTGAGAACACATTCTTATTTTTTTGGCAATGACCTGTGAGCGAATATGGTTAACAGTCTTGCTCAGGGACAGAACGGCATGGTTTATTACCTCGAAAGCAGAACGGCTCGGAATATTGTACACTACTGTTCAAAGGTTTGTGTCTATTAGTGGTGTCCTTTCTTTTAAAAAAATTAAATGAAAAATGTGTCCATTAAAATTACATCATATTGATTACCAGTGGACGCATTGGTAGTGTTCTAAATGAATATTGTAGCTATGGCAACATAGCAGAACAGCGGTCCATCAACCATTAGTCCTGTGTTCCAATGGCACGTTGTGTTTTCCAATCCGAGTTTAAAACTTACTTAAAAGGCTAATTGAACATTAGAAAACCCTTTTACAATTATGTAAGCGCTGCTGAAAACTATTGGGCTGATTAAAGAAACAATAAAACTGGCCTTCTTTAGACAACTTGATTATCAGCAATTGGTGGTTCGATTACAGGCTGAAAATGATCCGAAAAAAGGACCTTTCTACTAAAACCCTTCAGTCTGTTCTTGTTCTGGAAATAATGAAGGCAATTCCATGCTAGAAATGTCTGAGAAACTGAAGATCTCGTACAACACTGTGTACTACTGTCTGCCACAGAACAATGCGAAGAACTTCTGAATCTTCCGCCTGCAAGTATCCACACCTCAATAATCCCATGGAGCGTGATTCTCAAGGCTGGCACAGTGTCGATGCCACTTTCTAGTGACACACCAATTACATGTCAGAAATGGAACGTGGAACAAAACAACTAAAAGGAAGCGGGACTGAAGTCTAAAATCTAAAAACGAAAATATCTACTCAAGTATGTCTAGTTGCAGCTGGCAAAAAAAGGTTTCTTTGGATTTAAGTACAAAGAGCCTTTTAGCATGTCCCAGAATGTTGGAAACAGACACTAACCATCTTCAATGTTCAAATAAGTACATAAATACTGTGGGCGTATTCGCTTTCATCCACTCTTGCGTAGTGTTCTATATAAAGTCTATCCTGGAAGCAGATTTCTTTCAATAGTCTTACGTTTTTTTTGGGACGATTCAAATGTGTGTCTAACCTTTTAGTCAGTGTCCGATATATCTTGTTTTCTAGGCAGCATGACTTGCTAAACGTTGTTTGTTATATAGACCAAATAATAGTCGGTTGCACTAATAGTGGGTAGCCACGGTACCAGTCAGAAGTTTGGACACCCCTATCTATCTAAATAGCTTTGTTGTTCTTTACACATATTCTAAAATGTGTAAAGAAATAAAAATAGCGAATTAACCTCGAATGAGTAGGTGTGTCCAACCATTTGACTGCTATCTTTAGGTAAACATTAAGGACTGGATGTGTGATTAATACTGTCAAAAGCTTTGGAATGTGTTCATGAGTTATTTTTGAATGCCCTACTACATGCACTGCTAGTACACACCTAACTGTAACTGCCATTGTGTGTGTGTATTAAAGACCCGATTATCTTTCGGACAATAAATGTCCAACAGTATATATTGCTAGACGTGAACGCCTTGTCGACACAGTAGCCACCAAGCCCAGACATTCACAACGATACCGTTTTCAGAGGAGCCTGGTTTAACGGTTGAAACAGAAGGGTTTCGTGAGCGGATTGTTTCAGTGTCAGGAGCCTGTACCTTCGCTCGGAGGAGAGAGCGTGGGTTTATAAACAAGTGACGATAAGTGTCCCTCGGATCGTACGGCGCCTTTCGCGTAACACGTTCGACAGCGAGCGAGGTCAGCTGACGGAGTCCTCTCCTCACGCAGGTCCATAAGGAGTTCAGTAAGTGTCTCCGTCACTCCTACTGCTGCAGCAGTACCTCCACCACCAGCTCCCATGGGTCCCTGAAGAACTCTGCCCTGCGTGCCAACAACCGTTACTACACCGGCAGTCAGGCCCGGCACGCTGCCGTTCACAGACAGGTCAGTTAACACACACACTTATAAATGTATGCAGCACACACTCACCCAGGGAAACACACACTATAACAGTACACACACACACACAAATGTAGACGCTTTATTTCATATTAGAGAACACTCTAGCCTAAACACACACACACACATACCGTTTCTCCACATTTGTCACACCGCACTTCTCTAATGTAATCAGAAGCCCTAATCAGATGGCTTCATCTCTATCGGATCAGACTCCAATTATTGTTTAGCACAATTACATCTGACGTCTTTTTGCCTGCCTACATTAGCTTGTTTTCGTAAGCACTTCGTGTGTCTCTGTTTGCTTGCATGTTTTTCACTGTCTTCTTTCCAAAATAGACCTTTTTCCGAATATTGTCAAAATTGACATTTTTGTCATGTAATTACCTAACGTACAATTATAAAAATTAAAATAAAGTGGAATATATGTTATTGGTTTTAGAGTCAGGAACGTTATAATAGTGGCAGAGGCAATGTATAGACCTGTTATTGTGTATTTCAGACTGTTGGTCTGTATAGACCTGTTATTGTGTATTTCAGACTGTTGGTCTGTATAGACCTGTTATTGTGTATTTCAGACTGTTGGTCTGTATAGACCTGTTATTGTGTATTTCAGACTGTTGGTCTGTATAGACCTGTTATTGTGTATTTTAGACTGTTGGTCTGTATAGACCTGTTATTGTGTATTTTAGACTGTTGGTCTTTATAGACCTGTTATTGTGTATTTTAGACTGTTGGTCTGTATAGACCTGTTATTGTGTATTTTAGACTGTTGGTCTGTATAGACCTGTTATTGTGTATTTTAGACTGTTGGTCTGTATAGACCTGTTATTGTGTATTTTAGACTGTTGGTCTGTATATACCTGTTATTGTGTATTTTAGACTGTTGGTCTGTATAGACCTGTTATTGTGTATTTCAGACTGTTGGTCTGTATAGACCTGTTATTGTGTATTTTAGACTGTTGGTCTGTATAGACCTGTTGTTGTGTATTTCAGACTGTTGGTCTGTATATACCTGTTATTGTGTATTTTAGACTGTTGGTCTGTATAGACCTGTTATTGTGTATTTCAGACTGTTGGTCTGTATAGACCTGTTATTGTGTATTTCAGACTGTTGGTCTGTATAGACCTGTTATTGTGTATTTCAGACTGTTGGTCTGTATAGACCTGTTATTGTGTATTTTAGACTGTTGGTCTGTATAGACCTGTTATTGTGTATTTCAGACTGTTGGTCTGTCTCTGTATTGGTGTTCCTCACTGTGTTTCTCTCCTTCGGCATTCCAGAGTCGGATCCGCAGGATGTGGAATGACACGGTTCGAAAGCAGACAGAGTCTTCCTTTATGGCTGGCGACATCAACAGCACTCCTTCACTCAACCGCGGTGAGACCTGCCTCTCCCACCTCCCCCACCGGTCCCCCTGTCCTCCCCTCCAGTCACACACACACGCACGCACACACACACACACGCACACACACACACCTCAATCGCAGGCTCATCAGAACAGACAGACAAGTGAACTGAGGTGGCAGCACTGCTGAGTCTCCCTCTCTGTGAGAGGAGTTAGGTGTCAGTGTGCGTTGACACAAGCAACAGTCTGAGAAGTCGTTGGCATGGCATCGCCTTGGCATCCATCGTCATGGAGATCAGCATGATCTCGGAGGAAAGGTGTGGGAGGATGATAGGGAGGGAGGGGCTGATGATGACAAAGAGGCAGTCACTAAATCAACCATCACTCTTTATGCAAATCTCTCCCGTTTTGTTTTTAATTAACTGATTAGCGTAGCAGCGGGCATGGGCGCAATTAGCCTAATTGAGGAGAGTGACAGGAGTGAGGGGGGTGAGGAGGGTGAGGGGGGGTGAGGAGAGGAGCCATAAAGGAGGAGGAATAAAGACATGTATAGATGGCAGGATGGAGAGATAGAATATAAAAAAAGAGAATAACGCTTGCGTTAGAAGGTTGAGAGAGAATGAGAGTTAGATGAGGCGAGAGAGATGACTCTGGGAGTGAAGTAAGAAGGAAACAGAAGACCCACAGGTCGGGAGATACCAACCAAACAGTGGAATCTCAAAACCAAAGAAAAACTTGGTGTAAATGTTGGCGGAAAGTGAAAGACAGGCGCCTTCATTCGAGGGACGAGACGAGAGAGGAGTAAAAAGACGCTATGGTGAAGTAATAATTAAATGGGACGAATCTCGGCACTCTGTCACTGTCGCTATCGCTGGCATCTGTTATCTCTTTGATTTCCCCACTTCACTTCTTTATGAACTTTTTTCTCTCTAGACAATAATCTGTCCAGGAGACAAGGCGTGATGAGGCTTCCTCATCTCTGAGTGAATCCCTAGCTTCCCAGCAGTTGACCTATTTTCTCTCTCTCCCAACACCTAGAAGTTGTTTATTTTTAATTTTTAGATAGAATATTCCCCCGAGGTTTTCTGGACAACTAATCCTGAGTAAAGTGGTGTTTGTGTTGAGAGAGACAATGATGAGAGAGAAAGGAGAGGAGAAAGAGAAAGGGAGAGAGAGAAAGGGAGAGAGAGAGAAAGGGAGAGAGAGAGAAAGGGAGAGAGAGAGAAAGGGAGAGAGAAAGAAAGGGAGTAGAGAGAGAGAAAGGGAGAGAGAGAGAAAGGGAGAGAGAGAGAGAGGAGAGAGAGAGAAAGGGAGAGAGAGAGAAAGGGAGTAGAGAGAGAGAAAGGGAGAGAGAGAGAGAAAGGGAGAGAGAGAGAAAGGGAGTAGAGAGAGAGAAAGGGAGGAGAGCGTAGTATGAGACGATAGAGTTGAGAGCGAGAGAGACGCTAGAGGAGAGAAAGAGAGAGAGACTTAAAAATAAAACGGCATGAAGTAAGAATTAAAAAGTGAGTGAGTGAATGTGGATGAGTGAGATGATTTGTATTGAAAAA